CCCCCCTTGCTCAGATGCTGCCTGGCAGGGGAGAGGCTCTCCTGTTCCATCCAAGGGATGGTGGTTCTGTGGGCTCAGGGCTGGGGTGGGATGTGCCAGCTGAGGTGCCATGGGCCAGTGGTGGTACCTATGGGCAACTTCTGCCAGGCTTAGGGCACTCTAGGGTGCTAATATCATCCTTCTTGCCTGCAGGTGGAATGTAACTCCAAGCTGGATCCCACCAACACCACCTTCCTAAAGGTAGGTGGGTGGCAGGGGGCAGCTGGGAGGTCCCTGCTACCCAAGAAGTGCCCCGTTGCCCTCTGCCCCAGGGATGCAGGGTGTCTCCATCTCCCCATTCCAGGTCTGTCCTGGCCATGGGGCTGGGGGCAGGTAGGGCGAGCAGGGTGGCCCCAGCAATGGGTATCAGGGGACAGGGTGGGCTTTGTACCCTCCCAAACTAAGCAGGACTTTGTCTCTACAGATGGCTGACTCCGGTGGGCTGCCCCAGGTCACACAGGTGAGCCCTCCCTGTTAACTGAGTATACTGGGCCCTGGGACAAGCACTGGTGCTGTCCCTGGCTAGCAGGGGATGAGCTGAGGTGGGCACAGGGATCTTGCGCAGGGGCTGCTGGAGGCAGCCTGGGGCTGAGTGGATATCTTGGCCTCAGTGCTGCCTCAGCTCAACCTGCTGTCTCCCCACAGCCCGGCAAGCTGACTGAAGCCTTCAAGTACTTCCTGCAAGGCATGGGTTACAGTGAGTGCCAGGGCTGGGAACGGGGCTGGTGTGTGCCTGCGTGTACACTTGTGTGTGTGCCTGTGTGCGCGTGTGGTGACCCCGCCACAGGAGAGGAGACTGGCACCCCCATGATGGGGAGCTGTATGCGTGTCTGTGGTGTTGTATATGCAGGTGTACAAGGTCCAAGCGTTTGTAGGGGCATGGGGTGTACAGGCTCTATGTGCACACAGGCACGTGTACAAGGGCTCTGTGTATGTATGTGTGCAGACAGGGTCTCTGTGCATGCACACGCACTTGTGTGTGTGTGTGCATGCACAAGCAGGCACTGTGTGTGCACACAGGTGTGCAGAGTCCACGTGCATAAGTCTGTGTACATGTGTTTGTATAGGTCCACGAGAATGCGTGTGTGTGTGCATACCTGTGTGTGTGCACGTGCGTGAAGGTTCATGTACACGTGTGTGTGTTTGTAAGTCCCTGTGCACATGCACTTATGTCTGTGTGTGTGCAGGTCCGTGTGCATGCACACGTGGGGCTTGGTGGGGGCTCTTGGAGCAGCCAGCAGGGCTGACCCTCTCTCTCTGCCCTCCCTGCCCTACTCCCCCTGCACCCCTGCCAGTCACCCACCTGAAGGATCGGAGGCTGAGTGGAGGCACAGGTACTGCTCAGTGCTGCTCGGCCCGTGCCCGCTGCTGCATGGTGCCTGCCTGGCCTGTGTCCTTGAGCTGCCTAGGCACCTCTGGGAGCAGCCTGGGTGTGGGGCTGGCCCTTCCTAGCCAGGTGCCCTCTGCCTCACTCTGCTTTGCCTGAGAGGCCATCCTGAGCCAGGGGTGGGGGCTGAGAAATGGCATTCGGAGAAGTCCCCCTGGTGCAGGCACAGTCTTGGCAGTGTGCTGGCTGTCCCCTTCTGCAGCTGGCCAGGAGCTGTGCCTGCTGGCATTCTGGCTGGAGTTAAGGTGTCACCTTCCCTGAACACCTCCCATCTCAGCTCTCTCCTTCCCCAGAGCGTGGTGGCCAGGGGTCCCCGCTGCCTCATGCCCAGTGGTTGCATGTCCGGGAGATGTGCCCGGTGTGCAGCCTGCTGCAGCGTGCCCTGCCCCTGCCCCGGTGTCCCTCGCCAGCCTGGAGCTGCTCACGTTGTCACAGCACCGCATGCTGCAAGCTTGTGCCTGGGGTTCGCAACGGGGAGTGGAACTGGTGGCTTTGCTTGTGTGAGGCAATGTCAGCTCAGGTCCTGATGGCTCTCGAAGGGCACTGAGCACCCTGGCTGTCTCTCTGTGCCCGTGCAGTGCCATCTGCCAGCATGACCCGCCTGGCACGCTCCCGCACGGCCTCCCTCACCAGCGCCAGCTCGGTGGATGGCACCCGCCCACGTGCCTGTACCCACTCGGAGAGCACTGAGGTCATGGGGCAGATCAACCACACCATGGAGGTATCATGCTGAGGTCCACACCTGCCGCTGACGTCTCCTCCAGAGCCATCTCCCATCCATCAGCATCCCGCCAACACCCACCTGCCCTGTGGACATCCTCCACCAGGGCCCTTGCTCCTTCGGGGTCGATTTGTCGTCTTTGCCATTGGCCTCATCCCCCTGTCTGGTACCAAAGGAGAGGAGCTTCGCTTCACTGCCTCCTGGCTCCAGTTCCTGGCTTCGTCCAGCAGTCACACATGGTTCTGCATCGGTCTTCACCCTCCCCAGAATTGACTTGGCCCTGGCCAGGGATGGTGGATTGCAGGGGCATGGGGCCTGGATGGGGGGAGCAGGGGCAGGGTGGTGAGATGGGGACAGGATGGTGGGATGGGGAAGGACAGCAGGATGTGAAGAGGATGCAGGAGGTAGGCTGGTCCCCCAAGGTAACCAATGGCTGGCCAAACCAGAAGGAAGACAAGACAGGGAGCAGCACTCACTGGGGTCACTGAGCTCTTCTTGGGGATGTATCTCCCATTTGTCCCTGCCGACCCTCCCTGGGGAGAGCTAGCACACCCAGGACCTCCTGCCCCAGAGCTTGCTGAGCATTGTGAGAAATCGCACCCCAAACTGTCCCCTTGCCCTGGTCATGTGCTCTGTGTGCTGACCCAGAGCAGGGGGAGAGGGCTCAGCTTTGCTCCAGAAGCCATCAAGGCAGGAGATTGGCATGGGAGTCCCTCTGCCTCTGCCCATGCCCTCGCCTGTGTCAGCACTTCCTTGGTCCCTTGTTGCAAGAAGGACAATCACCACCTGCCACCAAAAACTGGGGGGACAGGGGGGCTGTGTGCCCTGTCTTGCACTTCCCTGCCACACTGCTAGTTGTAATCCCAGCTCTTGGGCTGAGACTGCTCAGGCTCAGAGGCCACCAGGTTTGCAGATGTCACATGGCAAATCCCCTCTCCAGTTTTGCCACAGTCTGTGGGTGTCACCGCAGTGGAACCATTAGCAATAAGATGAGACACTCCCACCCCTGCAATGCTGGGGAGCCCTCAGCACTCTGCCCCACAGGGTGCATCACTGCAAAGTGCTGGCAGTGTGGGGAGCACCCCAGTCTGGCTTTACCCATGATCTGGCTTTGCCGGTAGAGCTGGCCAGACCCACCACAGCTCCCCAAATCCACCCCACCTCTCACTGGCACATTGAGTGGGGCATCTCTTAAGGGCTTGCCCCCCCCCCCCCGAGATGCGGGGCCCCATCTGGCTGCTGGGTCTGGGTGGATCCAGCCTCTTGCACTCGGCATGGAGAGCCATGTCATCGCGTAACCTGCCATCGGCCACCTAGCCTCTGCTGCCGCCCGTGGCCCACTCCGCAGGCAGCAGAGCCCAGCTCCTCATGCACTGGGGTAAGGGAGCCCCTGGTTCTGGCAGTGGGTGCTCAGGTCTTTGCGGGTGATCCGTGGGGCACCCAAGCAGGGACTTGTAGGGGACCCACTGGGTGCCACCACTGGGCGAGCAGAACCAGCCCACTGGGAGCAGGTCCCACCCAGCCACCCAAAAGCACTCCCCCCCACCCCCTCCCCGATCTTGTCCCTGTTCCCCAGAGAGAGGCATGGGGGGTCCTGGGGCTCCCAGTGGGTGTTTAAGGGCTTTTGGCTCTGAAACGCATGCCCTGCCCAGCCCGTCCCATATTGAATGGCAACCCTGAAACACCAGTGTCCCTATTTGTCCCCAACTTTGTTCTGCCGTGTGCTTCCTTCTCAGTGTGACTCTGAAAGCTACGTAGCTCCTTTTTACTGTAGATACCGCTGCGATCTCTCGTTTTCTCAGCGTGTCCTTCCAGATGATATATATATAAATACCTATACATAATATATATAAGGGTTTGTCTAGTCCCTGACCTTTTTGGGTTCATTCCCCCTTGCATTCTCATCCAAGCGGTGCTGTGTGGTTCCCTTGGAGGTGGTCTGGCCATGCTCACCTTCGATTCCTCACCTTGGTTGGTTTGGTTTTCCGTGGTAGTTTGTTCTTCTGATTTTTGTCAGTTTTCCTTTTTTCCTGATCACAGTGGAATTTAATGCATTTTCCTGTCTGAGCGTAACCTGGTTTTGTCATGGCGGCATTAAGGCCGCAGCACTCACAAGATGGCAATATGTAAACTAGATTTAACTAACCTGTTGCTGTAGAGAGGATTTACTGTGTTGGAAAAAAACCCAACAAACTAACAAAGATATTAAGAATCTGCTGTTCTCTTTTCAACGTGCTGGAGGGAAGCGGGTCTGAGCCCATCCTGGGTCTGCCTGCAGAGATCTGGTGGGCAGGGAGAACAAGAGGGACACCTTGGCCACCAACTCCACCAGGAGCTGCACTGCTGGGAGAGGGGGACCAGAGTGCCCATGGAGGAGATACCAGGAACCCAGGGTGGATGTGGAGGGGAGCTGTGGGGTACTTTGGCTTTGGCAGAGTGCTCTATACGTTGGGAGTGGATGGAGACTGGAAAGCTGCCAGCTGTGGCCCAAAGAGGTTGGATCCAAGGGATGCCCACTGGGGAAGGAAAGATGCACGGCTGCACAAATCTGGGGATGAGCAGGGTCACCGGGAGATCCAGCCTCCCTGTCTTCTTCCAGGACTGCAGGATCCCTGTTTGTCGCCATATCAAAGGCTGCATGTCCCAGGCCACAGCCCTTTCCAAGTGCGTAGAGCCTTCCCTGGGAAGGATCCCCTCCCTGCATCCTGACCTTTGTCCCTGCTCCAGTGTGTCAGTGTCTGCCAGTGCCCCAGACTGGTCCCAGTCTCTGAAGAGGATCCCAGAGCCAGGGCATAAAGGGAGAGTGACTCTGGAGTTCACATGAATGATTCACTGGGGTGGGTGAAGAAGAGTCCGGAGACATGGGGAGAGAATGCAGACTGCCAGGACTGAGCCCACTGAGATGTGAGCCAGCAGCTAGGGAGCCTCTCCTGGCTGGTTTGGCTGGAGAGGTCTGCTGGTCTCCCTGCCCTTGGTTCTTCCTCTCTCCTGCTCCAGCCTTCAGGCTTCTCTCTTGCTGGCTCCTCTCTCCTTCTGCTTTGGTTTTGGGAGCCTCCCTCCTGCTCCTTCTCTCTCTTTCCCTCTTTCCTGCATTAGGCTCTCCCTCCTCTGGTCTTGGGATCTTCTCTGGCAGGGATGTCTGGGGCCCCCTCTCTGCTGCCCACCCCTCCCCCTGGCCTGGGTGAGCCTCATCTGGTTGTGTGTGAGGGGGACTGGAATGGTCCCGGTGGGGCTGGGATCCGGTGTCTCCTGCCTGGCTCTAGGACTGGAGACCATTGTTGTGGTGTCAGGGAGCTGCAGCTGTGATAGCTGTGCTGCTGGGAGGGGAGAGGCCACGTGAGGACCCAAAGACCATAGAGGAGCAAGAACCTGCTGCTGCAGGATATGGGGAGGCCACAGCTGTGCTTGGAATGCTGGAGGGACAGGGATGCCTCCCTCTGAGGTGGGGGGCTAGGTTGTTATTAATGAGGGTTTTTGTGTTAATTAGCACCTTTGCATTTAGATGCTGGCAGGATGGGGGGCTCTGAGGGTGCATGGCAGTGAGGTTGGATCCAGGGGAGGTGCCCTGAGCAGCCATGTGCTGCTGGGCCTGAAAAGAGAGGGGACTCAGGCGGGATATCCTTCCTTTTTTTCCCACTGGTGTGAAGCTGGGTCATGCCAGGGCTGGACTGCAGCATCCCTGAGGCTGATGGAGGGAAACTCCTGCTGCACGGATCTCCCAGCCCTCTGCCAAGCAGCTGTGCAGACAGACTTCTGACAGTTCCCAACCATGGGTACACATGACCATCAGTTGTGCTGGATGGGTCACCCTTTCCCCAGCTGTCCCAGGACCCTGATAACACACACCTCCCTGCTTGACCATCAGCTCCCCAAGGACATGGCCCCAGCTCCCACATGCTTGGGGACAGGATGAATCAGGAGCCCTCATACCTTGCCATCAGTCCCAGACAGCCTTGATCCCCTCCCTGCCTTTCCTGTCCCTTGGGAAAGGGGAATACTGAATTTCCCTCCTGCCCCTGGCCCCTTCCCTTGATGCTCCTCTACAATGGGGCCACCTCACATCCCCACCCAGCTCCCCCATGGGTGCTGTGTGCCAGGGCACCTCTATTCCCTGCTTTCCCCTGACTCTCTGGGAGTTCTATTCTCCTGGTACCACCATGGAGCCCACCCATGTGAACCTGTTGCCTGCCTCCCCATGCCCTCCCTGTCCTGCTACTGGGGCAAGTCCTGTGGCTGGGCTCCCTGTGATGGGCACAGGATCCAGCCGCCATCATCATCATCAGCTCTGCCAGGGTCCACAGAGATGTGCTGGGGGTGAATGCTGATGGAGGGTATGTCAACCACACAAGTTGCACCTCATCTTATATTCCCTTGGGATGGTCTTTCAACTGACTGCTCATTTGAATTGTTGTGAATTGTTCCAAATCATCCTTTTTCAGGAACAAGTATGATGCAGAATATATCATCTATAGACACCTTCTCCATCATTTATAAAGTGCTAGTTCTAGCAGGATTTCTGCAAAGATCCATACTTCCAAGTCAAGTGTTAGATGTTCTCTCTTATATTTTCCTTCACTCTCATTGTTCCTTCTTCTAGACTCTCCCTTTCATCCTGCAGGAGCTCCCTGAGGCTGTAGACTGACTGGGTGGCATCTTTGCTGACCAGGATGCTGTGGCTCTGGGACACAGGAGGCTGCTCTGCCAAGGGGAGCTCCTGTTTGTTGCTGTTTGGGGGGGGGGGGG